ACACTAAAATTTTTTTGATCCCCTAAACCCCGCTAAACCCTCGTAACTAAACCCTAATAGAACATAATTAACTCAAATATAAATAATATAAAAAAATAATTTTAAAAAATAATATTTTTATAAAAATTTTAAAAATGTGGCAATTTTTTGAAATTTCTCGACAAACTATTTTCGTTAGAAGAAAAGACTAGTTTTGTTATGGTGAGTATTGACTTTAGTTTTAAAAATATTTTTGGCCACCGTCACTACCTTCTAAAAAATACGCTTGAGAAGTGGTAGTGATGTGGGACGTTCATGACCATATATGTGTATGTCAAGTTGATATATAAACTTAAAAGATTAATGATGGGTATATATTGTCAAATTACCCCACATTAAAATTTATTTTGTCCTAATGCTTTTTTTTCATTTTTGACCATTTTTTTTCTAAAATACCCTTAACCCAATAAAATTAATTAAAAATAAAGAGTTTTTAAAAATTTAAAAAATTTTATAATTACAAACACCCAAAAAATAGTCATTTGTATATATCAAAATATTTTTATTAGTTAAAAAAATGTTCAAAAGTAATTGTATAGTTTGCTTCTCTACGGTTTCCAGAATCCATGTTCTACGTCTACAGTCGGTAGATTAGTGGTTATGCCTAGTAGACTTATATCTACCAGCATAGAATTTGTGTTCTACTGCTTGCTCTATGTTCTACATCTTCGTAGAGTTTTTGTTCCACGATTTGCACTAACAGTTACCAAATCCAGAATACGTATTCTACCGTTCTCAATATATTCTACTATGCTAGAATATAAATTCTACCACCTTTTCTATCATCTACCGAGTACTGTAGAATGTGTTTTTTGCGAAGTTAGTTATTAAATTTCCTAAATCTATGATCTAAATATTCAGTTTCCTTAATCGACAATTTTGAAAAAATGTTTTCAAGATTACGTTTTATTGTTATTAATATTAATTTATTTGTACAATGAACAATGAATGATCTTTAGTGTAATTGGTTCCAGTTTGTGATACTTAGTCCCCTTGTTCCCTTGTTCGAAGCCACTTAGTGACATTTTTACACAAAGTTCTACCACATTT